TCCTCCCCGCGCCGTCGTTGTTTAATGCTATAAATAAAGCTAGTCAGAGAGACCGAGGAAGGCCCCAGCAGAAACGTCGCCTCTTCTCCACCGCCGGCCCACAAAATCCCAAGGCCTCTCCCTCCGTCCTCTCTCCTCGCTTCCCTTCTCCTTCTCCGACCGACCCACCTCCATGGCCCTGGACTCCGTCCCTTCCTACCCCAGCGACCTGGGATCCAGCGGCAGGGCGACCAGGACCCAGCAAAGAATCCGGTACGCTCCCGCGGTTTGCCCTGCTAATTTCTCGCGGCAGAAGGTCGACGCTTTGCGCTTCAGTTTCTTGATTTCCCTTCTCTGCTCTTGCCGTCGCTCTGCGTGGTGACGCCAGGAAGGAGGAGCGGACGTGGACGGCGGACACCTACGCGCCGTACGACGACGGGCACCAGTGGAGGAAGTACGGCGAGAAGAAGCTCTCCAACTCCAACTTCCCGAGGTCTGCTTCTTGGCCGATTCGCTCCATTCCCCCAAGCTCCATGTTTTTCCTATTCCCGTTCATGCATGTGTTGCCTGTGAGTGGTCAAGTAATTTCAAGTAGAACGGTTGGTTTCTAGGTGTTGGTAGATCTGCTGGTGAATTAGCAGGGACTGAAATTGGGCGAATTTACCGAGGGCGTGTGTTGATCTGGAGCATTTGGGGGGGCCTGGACCTTCTACTCCTTTTTCTAACAGGAAGAATTCCTAGCTCGCAATATCAAGAAAATTAGCCAATATATATGCATGCAAGATCATCTTTTTAGTCTACTATAGGTGGAGAACATGTCTCTCAGATATAATACATGTTTATTAACTAGTAATCTTTAGTTTCTATAACATTATACATACAAATAGAAACATTTCTTTGTATGCAGGTTGTGAATGGGCCAGATATCAAAATCAAAACAATTAAACTTACTTTTTTGGAATAATAAAACTTCATCAGTACCACAAATCACATCACCGCTTACCGCACCCAGAGTTTGTGTATTAGCAGGCGGTCTGGTCAATGTATTTGATTCTTTGCAGCAAACTCTGTTGTGGACATAACATATTGCGTGGCTTTCCACTAGTTACTTCTTGGCGGAACTAGAATGCGACAAGTGTCGGCATAGCCCTTAATCAAGTGGAAAGTAAAGGCATGCTCGTCAAGACGTCAACTAAAAACTGTTTATGTAATCGGCGTAGGGACCTTCACAGCGGCTATCTCTTACGTAATTGACAACCCAGCAAGACAAATAAAAATCCAAAAAGTGCTGGCTCGCCATACGGATAAAAAAAATCGCAACTGGACCTCCTTTGTTGCCTGTCATTTGCAAGTCGTTTGAAATCTAATATATATCACTAGCAGGCTAGAAGTTTCCTCATTTGTTTTGCCCACTTGTCCTGATTCGAGTCTGCAACCTTTAGCATCATGCCGACGGTCTCAGCTAATACTTCTTTTACTTCCTTGGAGACTGGAGACTGGTTGGCCCGTGATGCGACCCAACATCGATCCTGTTAGTCCGTCAAGAGACTGGTCATAGATGTTAACGTTTCTTCTTTTAGAAAACAGTAGATAAAAGGTC